TAAGTACAGAAAAACTCGGCCTTCCAGAGGCTCCATCTAGCTGCTTGAAATTAAATGCTTCTGTAAATAAATTTGTATCATCCAGAATACACTCTTTCACACTAGCAACAGTATCTAACCATTTAAGTATAACGCCAAAATAAAATAAAATATTATCTAAGCAAGATCAACAGAAAACAATTCTTTGAGTGCATCTCTATCATTCACATTGCAGATATTGCAGTTGAAAATTTAATTTGATACTGTGAGAAATCTTAAACTCATAAATAAGACATTCAAGTTGACTATGTCTACATTTGTGTATTTAAGAACCAAGGGTAAACATTGCTTCAGAAGACAGTCCAAACTCCAAAATTCATTCCCGAACTTTGACTAAGTCAGTCACAAGATGCACTATACTGTTCATCACCAAATAGGTTAAGGTTTAAGTAAGAAGCATAGTTATTTTATTTAAATAATGGAAGCCAGTGCATAATATACACCAATAATGCTATCTCATTTAGGGGGAAAAAAAACCCCACAAATTAAAAAAAAGTTTATTATATTTGCTTCTGTAACTTTTTCTGCTAAATGAGAAAAGCTAAGGGTGATATTATGAACACAGTCTTTATGTTGTTTGAAATATAAATTACAGTTCTAATCCCATATAACTTGGAGAAAAAAAATCTCAGGTAACCAGGGTTTTGGCATGTTTATTTTGAGAAGAGTTATTTTGGCTTTTTATAACTGAAAGAAACCACAGTTCTCTAGTTTGCATAACAACAGTGTACCTGCTGGATGCTTTTTAGCTGCAGTTCTAGAAATAAAAAAATTCTGAAACACTAATTTTATCTCACAGCTCTTGAAGATTTATTGCAATCTGTTCTTAAGAGTGCTGATCCAGCTTTCAAATTCACAGAAACTGTCAGGTTGCCCAAATGAGAACACAACTGGATGCTAAAGAGATACAGTCATACAGAAAACTAGATGTATGATACAGCCAGCAGGATTATTCATTGAGATTATTAACACACAAAAAGAATTTGTTGGATTGGATGCTTGAAACACAAAGTGGGTCAATACTTCACTCAGACAGAAATGAGTGGGTGCTGATTCTGAATATTCTGTCCCAGCCAATTTTAGGCATACACCTCCTGTCCACATTTTAGAAAGACGGAAAAAAAACCCAACAGTGAAGCTTCATCATAGAAATAATTCATATTTAGAATTCATGTTACCTTCCAAGTTAATGTGAAAAAAAAAGAATCTTAAAAAAATCAGGTAGTGCTATGGTACGTGTTACCACAAAAATCCCAGAAAAGAGGCGTTTCTAAAGGGCATTCCTCAAATCCAAACTTGTCTAACCACAGTATTCTCAGATGCCAATAATCTCTTACAGAAAGATGTCTAAGATTTCAAAAGCAAATGGAAAAAAATCCTCCCCACAACACACAAAACCTACACAGAACAGAATAAGGCAGCTCATGAAACCTGACAGAATTTAAGGGGTTAACTTCAGACCTTACTCTCAGCACTAACAACACCTGCATGCCCTGGGGCATTTAGGAGTTGACTTATAGGTTCACAGGAATTTTACCTGCAAAAACCTTACACACCTGAAAGATGAAATGGGAGAGACGTAAGAGTTTTGAAAAGCCATGACTTAGGGACCTACATTCAACAGGGGGAAAAAGAGGCTGAAGTATCAAAGTTGTTTGTAATCTGTTTTAAATCTCAAAATTGACAGTCTTAGATATACACACTAATTCCCACCCACCTTCCTTCCCACCTCTAACTCACAAACTAGAATTTAACTAGTAAAAATGTTTGGAATCAAGTGAACCTGTGTGTTACCATTCATAGCTAAGTGGATAGGACTTCCTACTATCTGCTAACAGGTACTGGTAGTCAGTAGAAGACCAATTCCTGCTGAGTCAGCCAAAGCTCATTAATTCTTTCTCCAGGAAGTTATTCCTCACTTTTCATTATAGAGATGGAAACAACTTTTTAAGCAAGGGAGGGCCTAAGGTCTTTCTGCATCTCATGTGTCAGCACTTCTCTTGAACTCTTTTACACAAATTAGAAGCATAATTCAAGTGCCACACCATACAAAACTGCAGCAAAGACATTCTTACGTAGATACTGCTGGTTAATGAAGTACAAAAAGCCCTAGCCACAGTAACAGAGGGCCACAAATACAGGACAGAATGGAGAAAACAGACACTACCAGGATAACTGCAAGCAACTGGAACAGAATGACCAACTAGCAATGAGCAGCAACTACTGTTACTGACTGTAACGCAGGGGAATTGTACTTTATCTTCAATAAACCACCAACTGTTCCATCTGTCAGTTAACTGCGCCTGTGCAATTGTCTAAAACCCGTGGTCTAAAGTCCTCCTGATCACTGACCCTTCATTATGCAAGTATGAAATACGATCTATTTATGCATCACCACCTCTGTCTTCATCTCAGAAAGCCTGCAGGTTCACTATCCACATTCTTCTTTTCTGTGACTGCCTCCAATTATCCAGTATTATTTTTTGCACTCCTTAAAATGTTGACTTGAGGCATATATTGAGCAATTACAGTCACAACCTGCTCAGCAAATAACACTGCAAAAAATTGAATCCAAGTCTGCTGTGTTCTGACTTGGTATTAGAAAATTAGTACTCACTGAAAAAAAAGATAACTGTCATCCATGACAAGTGATGATTAATTAGCATTAAAACTAGAAGTGGTATAAGAAAATGCTAGCTGTTCCTGAATGAAAGACGAAGCACAGGTCTCTTTTCTCAATGTGTCAGAACTTTTAGACACATGAAAAACTGATGTGTTAGTGAATACATCTGACTGTGAACACATGGCACTCTTGAAACACCACAATGAATATATAATAGGAATACTAGTATAGAGTACAAGCTTCATCCTATGCATAGTCTTTGATCAATTCCCATCAACTTCAAATACATGCCTTCCCCTTACTAAGATCAAGCACAGGTTGTATATCTACAATAAACTGTTGAGATTCAAAAAGTACATCACCAAAATGAAATATGTAAGTAGACTTCGAACAGCTAATCAGGAAGTGGAGGAGATAACAATTATGAGCCTCTTCCTCCCAGTGTTATGGATTAAAATAACTGTAAACAGCTACAGGAATGCTAAACCCCTATATCTTGAAACCACTCACTAGTATTCCGGTGTAAGTGGATTTCTCACAAAAAAAAATCTTCCTGGTATACAGGAGTACACTAACAAGCTGTAGACAGCCTGCAAGGTTATGCAAAGAGCCTTTCACAGATTCTTTCTATCAAAATGAAATTCCTACATTATAGTGATTAATGAAATATGTAGTGATACATGAAATGCTGTAACAAATACAACTTCTTCATCTTTCCCTCCACCATTGATAACTAAAGCATCCCACAAGAATCTAAACAGCAGAGATGAGCATCTTACACTACTGAGAAACTAGGTTAAAACACCAGGACTCAGAACAGCAATGTCAAGTAGTTTGTTTGAATTTTAATGTGCAAACCAATGGGTCAAGGAAATTTTGAAGAAAATGACAGATGTCAAGGGCCTAACTCCTCAGTAACCCCAAAGCACTTAATTCCCATTGAGATATACAAGAGTCAGTTACGTATTGTCGTGGTTTCACCCCAGCTGGCAGCCAAGCACCTAGCAACTCTGCTGATTGAACAGTCTTTTATTCAGAAACTGAACCACACAAATATTTCAGTTTTTATTAATTCCTTAACTAGAAAAATCATCTGCTGTTCCCTAGTACTCAGTTACTGTTCCATCAAATGGATCTTTATTTATTGCAAAATAAAAATACCTAACACCTCTGACACTGAGCCAAACATAGTCTGTTTCAACAGCCTCAGCGTACAGAAAATACAAAAACATTAATGAACAGTTTTCTAACAAAATTTGAACTTTTTTAATGGGCATTGGCAAATGTTACCCAAAATATACGCTGAAGGCGAGGCATCCACCACACCAGCATAAAAGAAATTTTATATATAGTAAGCTTGATTGAGAACAAGTTAAATACTGAAAAAGGGAGACTTGTGCCTTGGGATAATACTGCCAGAGTATAATATATGTGCATTTAGATGTGAAAACTGCATGAGAAACAGGATGATAAAATGGTAATAATTGTGATTGCTCTAGTACCCTTTCAAATTCTAAGTATTCACAGCTTATGCACTGAAATAGTAAAATATGCACATCTGTGCATCTACAAATCCAAGCAAGTGCATCGTTGTAAGAAAACAGAAAATCTATAGCAAAAATACGGTTCCCAAGTGTATGACTGCAGATAAAAATTTCAGAAAACACCATCGACACGGACTTTTCGCAGGACAGAGTTCTTCCCGAGTGCCCGAGTGGGTTTCCCAGTGGGGAGGCATCCACCTCTCCCTCCCTGCTAGCCGGTCAGGGAGGGGCAGCGCCTTGGGGTTCGCCCAGTCCCCGCTGCTCAGCGCTGCCGCCCTGGAGACGGGAGGTTTGGAAGCGCCTCCTGCCCCCGGCCGCGCGGGGCGGGTGCGGGGTACGCGGCTCCCCACGGCCGGACGGCGGGGCCTGGCCACCGTCCCGCACCGCGGGGCTCCACGGCCGCCGAGGCGAGGCCAGGCGGACAGCGCCGATGGGGCGTCCCCGGGGACTGGGGCCGCGGGTGGGAGGGCGAAGGGGCACCTGTTTCAGGATCCGCGCGGGATCGTGTGGAGCAGAGGGCGGCGCGAAGAAGCGGGGCACACCCGCGGGATAGCCGGGAAGGGAGGGCATACTCCGGCATTCGGAGGGGCGTGGAAGAGGGACACGAGGGCAAACGCGTGGTGCGGGGCGGCAGGGCACGGCAAGGGGTGCCGGCACTGCCAAAGCAGCGCCTCAAACTCATCCTCGCCCCTGCGTTCACCTGGGCTGCGCGGGGAGCCGCGGCCACCGCGGGGACTCCCCCGCCCACACCGCTGCCCGCCGGGGAGGAGCCGGCCGGCAAGAGCGCACCTTACCTCGAAGAGGGGACCGATCTTATTCTTCTCCAGGTAGGCTTGGATCCTGGTCTGCTGGTGAGACGCCATGAAGAGCTCCGGAGGCGGGGGCTCGAGCTCCTCTTCCCCGGCGGCGGCTGCAGTCCCTCCGGCTGCTGGCGGCTCGCTCCCCCGCCGCCCAAGGGCTGCCACAGCGGGAGCGGGCGGAGGCGCTGCGAAAGTCCCCGGGACGGAGCTAACTCAGGTAACCGGGGGCGGGGGGAGCCGGGTGCCAGTCGCCCGCTTAGCTAGGCGCGGGGCTAGCTGCTCTCAAGGAGCAGCGGGCGGGCGCTGCCTAGAGCAGAGCATGGTGCAGGAAGGAGAGGCGCTGCAAAGGCGGCCCCCAAGCCCGCGCCGCTCCGCGCTGCGTGTGTCTCTCAGTGTCTCTGTCTGTGCGTCTTTGCAAGGCAGCGCCTTGGTTACGGGAGCAGCCGCAGCTGGCGCTGCTGCCCTCGCCACAGCGCCGCTCCCGGAGCCAACAGAGGCTCCCGTCCGCTCCGCGGCCGCCGGCGCCCGTTGACGCCCGGGCTCGGCGCACAAAAGGCGGGAGCGGGGGAAGTGGGAGGAGAGCGGGCGGGAGGCGGGAGCTGCTCTGCCTCCTCTCCGCCGCCGCTCCCTGCCCTCCCGGGGATGGGCTTACCTCCCGGCGGGGCCGCGTTCCCCCGCTCCGCGGGCGCTGCCTGCGCGCCGGCGTTTTGCGAGGACCCCACCTGGCTCCGATCCCCGGTCGGGCGTGAGCGCCGCGGGCCGCCCGGCATGAGCGACCTGAGCGGCACACGAAAACTTCAGCTGGTGGAGGGTCGCGGAGAAGTGAAAAGGCTGACAATAGGGAATGGGGTTGCAGGGACTACAGCCAGCACTGTTCCTTATTTTTTGTTTAGATTATTTTTAAATCTTAAAATGCTACCGTTCTTGTGATGCCAATGAAATTCCCAATTAGCGACAATGGGCATCTTAATGCAACAATTGGAGTAGCTATGCAGGTATATCCTGGTCTCAGGTTGTGTTGAGTTCCCGCAAGCAGCCAAGGGGTCTCAGCCAAAACCCCTTGGTTTGCTCTCTCATGGAGCAAATGAGAAATTTTCAGCTGGCTTCAGGGAGTAGTGAGTTAATGAGTACATCAAAGAAGCAGTATGTATTCTTTCTCCACTTCAAATAAGTAGTATCCCACCATTTCTAGAAGCAGGGTCCTAACCAGCTTTTTTTTTTTCTTTCTCTCTCTATTTAGAGAAGAACAAACAAATCATGCTTCTTGGGATTTGACACTTCCATTCGTCTTCAATAACTAATTCTGCTGTACTAGCATTCACCTGTTTTGTGAAAAAAGATACACCTTATTTTTTCATGAGGATTTTTTTAAAGACACAGAACAGCTTTGAAGAATGTTGGGAATGTTCAACACATCTGCTGAATCAGGCTGCCTGCTCCCAGTCAAGCAATGCTCTGCAAATGCAAGAGTACAAGCCTCTCCTGATTCAGAAACTGCTAAAGAAAAGGGTGAATTTTGTCAGAATTTAAAAGATCATGAGTTCCACTCCCATTGAATTGACTGTTGTTTGACTTCAAAGTCCTCCTTGCTGACCTAAACCTCATGCCTCTACCTAGAAGGAGGTCAGATGTGTTTTATAAAGATAGTTTGCAGCACACCCTGTAGAGTAAGCAATAGCTTGTAGAAATCTTTAATGGTTTTGCTAGAACTTGCTCATCCCAGTTTTGGTGAGGCAAAATGTTTGTTTCCATAGTAGTCACTTAAAAGTAGTACCCTTTTTTTTTTTTTTAAATTTGGATTTGTTATATGCTGGTAGTCTTCTAAAATTCCTATTAGCTCAGAGTTTTAGGATATCATCTTCAGCAAAGTAATGCTGCTTTGCCTCTTGCCACTTAAATAATATGGTGCTAAGCTAATCAGCCTAATGAGGATCATACAATCATAAGTGTAATTGCCAGTGATGTAGGTTCTCTGTAGTGGCTCCAATGATTCCCATCAGATGAGGATGTTTGTAAAATTTCACGAATCTCACCAGAATCTCAGCTGCTCCAATAGATAAAAGTCTCCCACTTTGCAAAATTATGCTTCCCTCCCATGATCCAAAGCTGAGAATATATATTTCTATAGACCTACACAGCCTGACTTCTGAAAGCAGCATCACATGCAGACTTGCTGGGACCTGACCACGCCAGGACCTGCAAACTGTCACTGGTCTGTGTAGACCAGGAAGAGGACTGGAGAAAAGAAACCCCACTATCAGCAATATGAATAGAAAAGAGAACTTATTAAAGGTGGTTTTAAAGATAGCATAACTGTCTATGATTGCATATCGTACACTTAGCTAGATCCTAATCTCTCACTGTTAAAACCTCAGAGTCTGGGGTTTTGTTGTGAGTGTGTTTTTTATTCTCCCACTGAATCATAGAATGGTTGAGGTTGGAAGGCATTGGTCCCAGCCCCCTTTTACAGCAAGATCACCTAGAGCTGGTTGCCAAGCACTATTTCCAGATGGCTTTTGAGTATCTACCAAGGATGCTGGATTTTTCTGGTACCTGTAGTCAGTTTTGCTTACTGTTTCCCTAGATCATCTTTTCTATCTCTTAATTCTCATCCAGACATAAAATCTAGACTTTCCAGTGGGCTTGGGAGACACACTGTCAGTCCTAGTGTGGCTGGGAAAGCTTCCAAGGCCAAATGTTGAATTAGCTTTTTCAACAGACACACCTTGTAATCTCCAGAGTTTCTGTAACTCTTAACTGACAGGTTATCCTTTGATATGGATTAGGCACCTTAGGGAGACATGAACACAGACAGTTCCTTACCTAGACCTTCATGCTACTGTTTCCTAGTTGAAAGTCTCCAGCAGCTCCCTGAGAGTAAGGGAGTACAGGTGTCTCCTGCAGAGAACGTAGGCTGAATGACATGATGTAATAGGAAAAGGAACTTCACTGTTAGCATTTTTTTCTCTTTTTCTCAAGAAAGCACAACAAATGTTGCTAGATTTAAGACAAGCCACACTAAGATAGCAATCAATAAATGCCTGTGATTTGCAAATAAGCACAGAGAGCTGGGTATGTCCCTTCTGTCCTCTCAGTTGTTAGGAGAAAAACATTTTAAGAATTTAATTAAGGTATTCTAAGTTTTTAAAATTGGTATTAATACAATCTTTTAAAATTGACTTTCATCTTAATATCAAAGCAAAAAATCTCTTGAGTTAAAATTACTGGTTTGGACATGACTGAATTTTTATTACTTGCAGCAGTCTTTTTGTATGAGGAACTGAACACTAAATTACTTTACATCCTAAGTAATAAAATATAGTCTCTTTATTGTGCTTGGCTATGTACCTTGTTTCATTTCATAGACATTTTTCTTTAAAGAACAGTATACAGCATTCACATCTACATAACACTCAGCACTGAACTACAAGAACAGAAATGACTGCAAGAATTTGCACACATGCATCAAAAACTGAAAAGTGTCCCAACTTAAAAATATATTCACCACATAAAGTAAAAACCGTGAGATTCCCAAAAAGCAAGGAAAAAGAGAAAAAAAGAATAGAGCTAATTTTAAGATGCTTGTGACCATTCTCTTCTTATCCCGTGTCTGTGCCTGTGATATCTGAGCTCTGTGCTTCTTACCATCATATGTTGGTGGGTTTCTCATCCTCCACTCTTCTCATCAAGAAAAGAGTATGCATGTTTTGGTAGGTTGTTTCTGGTGTGACTTAGTTCAAGGACTTCACAAAAGTAAGGAGCCATAAAATAATTCCATAGTATTCTATCATTTCAGTCCTATCATCCATTTTTCAGGAATCAGATTGCTACAGTTCCAATGCTGAGCACTGAATTTTTGAGGTTATAATCACTTGCAGTACACATTTGTCATTGCTGGAGTTAAGTTACCCAGGCTTTACGTGCAAAGAAGGTGTTCTTCAGGAGTCAGAGCTGCCACTGCCTAACAGAAAAGGAAACTGATGACTTGGCTGTCTGTAAAGGTACTCCATGGGTCATATATACCCAGTGCCAAGTCAACAATTCTTTCCATTCTGGTTAAAACTTGACCCATATGGTCTGTAGGAAGTTTATTTTTTTGAGATGACATCTGAAATGCAATAGAGACATTAAGATCTAAGAGAAATATATTGGCAATAGATGAATTTATTACAGACCTTTAAATGGTTTTCTAGCTCCTGTTAAGTGCTTTATGTTTCAGCTGTCAAAAATCATCAGAAATTCCTTAATGAACCTTTCAAAAACAATTCGAGAAAAATGAACAAATAGCAGGCACATTGAAAGAGGTAGTATTCATCAGAAACTAGTGATGTTGTCTTTATAATGCTTTCAGTTTTGTCAATGTTTCCTTTCATGTCATAACTTTATAACAAAGAATTCTTCTTCCATTACTGTGGTCATTTCTATTGAGTTTTATATTCTATGCAAAGTCATTATCTGCTTCACAAAGAGGTAGGAGTCATTAGTTAACAGCTGTCTAAATGTAGTTCTTAAAGTGTGCTTGTACTTCAAAGAAAATGCAACTGAAGTTACCTTCAGGAGAATAAATTCCCTGAGTTCCTGCACTTTATAAATGAGGCATTATTTTTTTTATTGCTAAAGCGTAGCCTTGGAACATTACAAACCCCTGTTGTAAAATTTTCTAAAACAGCATGCACACGTGCACACACACACACTGGCTAAATGTTGCAGTGCTTCGAGCTGTTTAAAATAATGAAGGTCTAGAAGTTCTTGACCTAGAAAGCTGTCATCTAGCTTTTTATTTAGTATTCCTCTAAAAATGTACCTGCTCAGATGGCATGTTTTCAAAAGAAACGGAAGCATCTTAGTATATTATACTGAAACATCCAATTTATGTTTTATCCCCTATCAGGTTAACTGACAAAACTGAAAATATCACTGGAGGGCTGATGCTAATGATTTGGTATACCTAATTTTTTGGTGTTTTTTTAAATGCACTCTGTAAAGGATAATATGCCCACAAGCTTGAGTTTAAGCAATCTCAAATATCCTTTCTATGGTTTTATATTTGCACCAAGAGCCATACAACTTAAAAATCTGGACTAGACCCAGACTTGTAAAGAGCAAGGATTCCTTTGCATCTTCATTCTCCTAGAGAATTCAACCTGTGTTTTGGATATTTTGTCTTTTATACATTGTGATCTTAGCCACAAACACTTAGCCTCTCTGGTAAAACATTTCATATTTTCTGCAGGGCAGGAGCCCTTGGGAACTTAAAAGCTTTGTTATCCTTGGGCTCTCAATAAGGACAAGCACAAATCACTAGAAAATCCAAGATTCATAAACCCACACTGTGCTTTAGGAGGATGAGTTTCTACCTCTTTCACTCCTTTTATTTTTAGATGTATTCTGTAATTTGTTTTCAATTATCCTGTTCACTTTCCTGCTTCCAATGGTTTGTTCCAGAATTCCCTTTTCCTATTCAGAGAAAAATCCATCTAAACT